TCAAATCCAGGACTAGAGAGATGGCTCAAAGGTTAAGAGCATTGGCTGTTCTTCCAGAGGACCCAGGTTCAATTCCCAGCACCCACAATGGCAGCTTGCAATTGTCTGTAACTCCAGTTCCAGGGGATCTGACACCCTCACACCAATGCACATAAAATGAAGTTAAATAAATTATATATATATCAAATCCAGCCAGGCAGTGACGTGCACACCTTTAATCCCAGCACTTGGGAGGCAGAGATAGGTGGTTGGGTTTGAGACCAGCCTATAGAACAAGTCCCAGGACACCCAGGGCTACACAGAGAAATTCCACCTTGAAAAAAGCCCAACAAGAACCCATCAAATCCATTTCCTTTGTTCACTGACTCAGGCTAAGTGTCTGAACAGTGCCTAGCACTCAAAAGATTTTCTTTCCTAGTTTTTGTTTTATTGTTTTGTATGGGTGTTACATCTGCACAGCACAGGCATGCAGAGCCCCTGAAAGCCACAGTAGGGCATCAGATGCCCTGGGCCTGCAGTTATGGGACAGTTGTAAGGCACCTTGTGGGTCCTGGGATTGAACCTAGGTCCTCTGAAAGAGCAGCCAGTGCTTTTAACCACTGAGCCATCTCTCCAGGCCTCAAGAACTTCCTGAAAGAAAATGATGAATGGAACAGAAGGCCTCATAAGAAAGAGCTCTTCCACTGTTTACAGGCTTAACTCCTGTTACTAAGTTATTGTCTAACAAATGAAGTTTCCCAATAATGAGACAGGAAAGGAGTGGCAAGATCTTTATTGCCACAACACAAAATTGAGCTGTCAGTAAATAAATCCCTGCGGAAGTTCAGTCAAAACCAAAAGACCCAGTTCTGTAAAGAACTCCTCAAGCAACGTTATTTCTGATGACTACACCTGATAGTTCTCTGAGCCTCTGCCTTCCCTGTCAGAATGTGTAAGGACTGAGTAACCAATGCCGGGAGAACATTTAGCACTCAGCTGGCACCGAATGAGCGGTCATTGTGGTGTCGAGTAAAGTGCAGAGGAAGCCAGAAGAATGAAATATCACATTATCTTCTTATCAATTCTTCATCCTAGACTTTTAAAATGTGAGCTGGAATGATGACCTAAAATATAAGACGCTATCATACCATTGGGCCTGTATCTGACAGACACTCCACACTAACCTATCAGGACCTAGCATCCTCCACACTCTGGCCTTGGCCTGCCCCTTTTCAGAGCATCTTCTGTCCATTTTTGTATTGCTCATTATGCCTACTCAGAACTTAAGTTGTTTTCCTTATAGGAACCCAGCAGGAAGGAACTTCAGCAATCTACTGAAGGAGACATCAGTACACAAAAAAGAGAGCAGATCAGAAAAACTCCTGATAAGACCCCTGTTGCCTCTAGAAACATAGATGTTTTTGTAAAGTGACAGGCTAACTGATCCTCTTTTCTTCATTAGCATCCTGCATACCTTTATCTGCTAAGTCAATTCAGTTAAGGATTTAAAGGATGGGGGAGGGGGGGCATATCCAACTCGTAACTTCACCATAGTCTCATCAACCACAGACACATCACTCTAAACACTGCAAAGATTCTCTAGGTCACTGATGAGAGATTTCTTTTGCAGTGTTTTACAAGAGACTTCCCTGGGGCACAAGTTAAGGCAGAGAGTAGATGCAAAAAGTATGTCTCTTTTATTATTCTAAAGCCCATGAGGCATTAACTCAAAGATTAAAAGGCTGCCCCTGCTACGATGTGAATAACCATGTGTTCAATCCCTGGTTTTGTTATGATTTTTTTTTTTTTAGGGCAAGCAAGATGGCTCAGTGGGTCAAGGTCCTTGCGGCTTCAGTTAGATCTCTGGCACCCACAGATGCCTTGGCACCAGCATCCACAAACGTGCCGTACACACTCACACACATAGAAATGAAAACAAATGTGTATTTAGTCACAACTGTAAAATTTATACAGTCACTATTGCCATTAACTTTGCCTAAATGGAGGCTCCCAGCTTTAGGTACGAAACATGAAGCAGGTCCCTCCACGGTTAAGCCCGGGTACTGATATAGTAAGATCTTATTTTAGTAAGTGGCTGGATGCCTATTCCTCAGCGCTGACAAGACTCATCCTGACCACTTCTAGTAACAGATGGGTAAACAGCTCTCCAACAACCAATTTGGGAACAACTCCAAATGGGGAGGGAGAAAAATGAAAACTATAATTCACTACCCATACCTTCAACACTTCTCAAACCGGCATGTCCGATACACCCTAGGCCTTAGTGAATCACAAGCAGTTCAAACTCCATACTTTTTTGTTCTTTCCAAACTAAACAGTTTTCCAGACTGTCTTTCCCAACCAGGCTCCTGCCTAAGGGCTGGTTTTTTTGTTTTTGTTTTTGTTTTGTTTTTTTGTATTTCCGGCGTTCAACAGCAGATGCTCAAATGATTACCACGAGGTAGGCCTCAACCTGACCTAGCAAGTCAGATAATAAACTGATTTGGGGATGGCATGCCCGTAGTCTGGCCATCCGGTCCCATAAATGTCCGGAAACTGCGCATGTGGGGGAAAGTGAGCGGTCGGTTCCAGAACCTCCAGGAGTCTTGGCAGAATGGAGCGGGCTACCTGGTCCGCCCAGGCTGCTGAGGGCTCCAGACACAGAACACGATTCTTTACACCTTCTGAAGCAGAGAGGACAGGAGTACTGCCCTGTCCCCCAAGCCCAACCCTGACAACGACCCTTTCCTACCCAAGCCAGCCCCACAAACGCTCCACTCCGAAGCCCCAGTCTGGGCGCCTAGAGCTCGGGGGCGGGGGGCGCAGTGCAATATGGGAGTTGTAGTTCCACGGGGAGTTTCGCACCCAGACGGGCCTACAAACGGGACTCCTGCTCCCAGAAGGCCCCGCGCGGGCGCCTCGCCCAACCCTGCCACCTCACCTGTTCTATGGACGTGACTGTTTCCACTGAGTCGTCTTGCAACCGCTCCCGCGCGTGCTCAGGTCTCAGACTATACAGCGGTTCTGACCAGACAGGGGAGGAAGATGGAGGACAATAGTAGGTGAAGGAACTCGAAGAAGCCATGATCAGGCGAGCAGCGAGCGCTGTATAGGACACAGCTTCGTCCAGCAACAACGCGCATTGAAACTCGAGCGGGCTAAGGCGCTACGGAGAGTGGGTAGAGTCAAAAAGCTTTTGAACGCGAATCTCTCCTCCCACCTACACATCTTCAAGGAGTGAGTTACTGGGATGCTGCCGCCCCCCATTGGGCAGATGAGCTGCTGCAAGAGCTCCGCTTCCTGGAGCGAGTAGGATGCCTCAGTTCGTTATGCAAGTAATATCAAAAGAAAACTTCAACGCTCTGCTCTCACCTAATTGTAATGCAGTAGTCGGCGATTTCAGCTGCTCTAGAACCCTACGAATGTACCTTGAAAAACATTTCTGACAGCTCTCTGATTGCCTCCATCGCGCTCTTACTAATAGAATTATCGTGCACCTTTGGGTCTTTGACAGCCTCTTAGGAGAAGCCTGAGCTCAGTAAATGAGCAGAATTGCCGGCCTCAGTACTCAGAGATAGAGGAGGGGAGCACTGTAATTTTTTCCTACTCCCTTGGGGGTGACTGTGCATTGGCAGAAACTAAAGCACCATAGAAGAAATGAGTGTAAATGCAACAACCAAAGAAATAGTCAACAAACATTTATGGAGCACCTGCTACTTGTATTGTGCTAGAGTCCAGGAATACAAAAATGAATAAAATTACAAGATCCCATCCCTTGGAATGCATCTGAATTTCATTTTAGAGGAACAGACAGAATTAGATAAATGAACACAAATATTTGAAGACTTACAATTATAATATAGCAGAAAATAGTCTGGCCAGGAGAGATGGTTCAGCAGTTAGGAGGACTGGCTGCTCTTCCAGAGGACCTGGGTTCGAGTCCCAGCAACCACCTGGCAACTCACAGCCATCTGTAACTCCAGTTGCAGGGGACCCAACTCCCTCTCTGGCTTCCACAGACAAGTGGTGCACAAATATACACGTGGGCAACATACCCATAGACGTTATTTTTAGTGTCGCTTTTTAAAATATATCTTTACTGAAAATAACTTTTCATGTCATATATTCCGATCATGGTTTCCCCTTACTCAACACCTCCCAGGTCCTCCCCACCTCCCTATCCACCCAACTCCACCCCTTCTTTCTCTCTCTTTAGCAAATAAAATGCAACAAAAAGAGGAAACAACCCAGAAAAAAAACAATGAGGAAGCACAAGAAGCACAGATACACATACAAAATTAAATTATTTTTAAATCATGAAGGAAAGAAACTAAAAGCATTTATGAGACTGATGACATGAACAAGGTTCTAATTAGATTCAAACCCAGGCACACCCAGGCCTTTCTGGGTACACGACATTTAAGCTGAGACCCTAAGGATGACAGCAGCCATCTATAACAATATGATGAGGGACCTCAAAAAAAAAAAAAAAAAAAAAAAAGAACAGCATGTTTGAAGGCACATGCCACAGATATACTCATGCAACTTGGGTTAACTCTAATAAGCATTGAGTGTTATATTTCCCCTGTGGTGGTTTGAAAGAAAATGACCCCCAAAAGGAGTGGCACTATTAGAAAGTGTGGCTTTGCTGGAGTAGGTGTGGCCTTGTTGGAGGAAGTGTGTCACCGTGGGGGTGGGCTTTGCGGTCTCCTATGCTCAAGCTACTCCCAGTGAGACAGACCACTTCCTACTGCCTGCAAGTCAAGATGTAGGAACCTCAGCTCCATCTCCAGCGCTGTCTCCTGCATGCTACCATGTCACACCATGACAATGGGCTGAACCTCTGAAAATGCAAACCACCCCAATGACATGTTTTCCTTTATAAGAGTTGCTGTGGTCATGGTGTCTCTTCACAGCGACAGAAACCCTGACTAAGACACCCCTCCAAAAAAAAAATAAATAGAATAGTGATTTTGGGAAAATCCTGTGGAACTGGACAGATAGCTGAGTGGTGAAGCGACAGGAGCACTTGGTGCTCTCGCAGAGGGCCATTTAGTTCCCAGCACCCTCACTGGCCACTCACAACGACCTGTGACTGCAGCTCCAGTGCCCTCTGTTGACCTCTTAGGTACACCTGTACTCATGTGCGCACCCACACACTGACAAATGGACATAATTTAAATCTTTTTGGTTTGCTTTGTTGTTTGTTTATTTCTTGAGACAGGGCTTCTTTCTTTCTTTCTTTCTTTCTTTCTTTCTTTCTCTCTCTCTCCCTCCCTCCCTCCCTCCCTCCCTCCCTCCTTTCTTCCTTTCTTTCTTTCTTTCTTTCTTTCTTTCTTTCTTTCTTTCTTTCTTTCTTTCTTTCTTTCTTTCTTTCTTTTTTGGTTTTTCAAGACTGGGTTTCTCTGTGTGGCTCTGGCCTAGCTGTCCTGGAACTCAATCTGTAGACCAGGCTGGCCTCAGACTCACAGTGATCCACCTGCCTCTGCCTCCAGAGTGCTGGGATTAAAGGCGTGCACCACTGCTGCCCAGAGACATAACTTAAATCTTTAGGGGGCTGGAAAGATAACTCAGTGGTGAAGATCACTTGATGCTCTTGCAGAGGACCTGGGTTGTGTGGTGATATTTGTGATCTAAGAAGTAAAGCTTGCCTGAAGATCAGAGAACAGAACCATCCACAGAGTTAAACATAGAGGTCAGGCAGTGGTGGCACACACCTTTAATCCTAGCACTTGGGAGGCAGAGATCCATCTGGATCTCTGTGAGTTTAAGGCCACCCTGGACTACATGAGATTGATTCAGTCTAGGAGAGAAACAGAGCCAGGCAGTGGTCACACACACTTTTAATGCCAGTACTTAGAAAGTACACACACCTTAATCCCAGCACTGGGAAGGTTGAGATAGGAAGTGAAATGGCTGGGCAGAGAAAGGAATATAAGGCACGAGGAGACAGGAACTTAGAGAGCCTTTTGGCTGAGGACCTAGAGGCATTCAGTCTGAGGATTTGTAGAGACAGGATTGGCTGAGGAGTTGGCAAGGTGAGAAGTGGCTGTGGCTTGTTTCCTCTGATCTTTCAGCATTTACCCCAATATCTGGCTCTGGGTTTTTATTATAAGACCATTTAGGATTCGTGCAACAGGGTTGGGTTCCCAACACCCATATGACATCTCACAGCTGCCTGTAACTTTAACTCCAGACATTTCAACACCCTCCCCTGATCTCTGTAGGCTTCTACACACACACACACACACACACACACACACACACACACACACACACACACACATACCAAAGTAAAAAATAACTACATCAAAATTACAATATCAAGAGGTTAAATTATTTAGGATGAGGGGTTGTAGGAAAAGATAACAGATGCCCTGAGGCTGGTAGTGTAGCTCAGTGGTAGTGCATAGGCCTAGTATGTACAAGGGTAAGTTTGGTCTCTAGCAACACACACACATAGCACATGCACTCTGCTCCCTGCTCAGAACATTTTACTCTGCTCCTACTCAACCCCAAGTCACAGGTCTAAGATCCAGGGCCTACATATTTGTTCACAATTAGCTATCTTTCTGTTCTCGGGCAAACAGAAGTACTCAGATTCCAAGTGTGAGGCTGAGGCTGGGTAGCATAAAGGCCCCATGTGGGTATACATTATTACATGCCCATCTTCGTGCAAGGTGGAAACCTGTGGCACCAGAAGATTACCAAATCTGGTAATAAGTGGGACCATGGTTAGGACCATGGATATGGATGTACAGTGTAAAAGGATCTTATCATACTTCCCACTATATTCACATTTTCTCTTTCCCTTAGTTCTGCTGGGATGGAGTGTCTGATAAGGTCTGGGTTCTAGTTGGACTTCCTTTGTACTGTCAGTTCCCAAATAATGCCACGGAGACTTTTTATTAATTATGAAAGCTTGGCCTTAGCTTAGGCTTGTTCCCAACTAGCTCTTATAACTCAAATTAACCCATTTATATTAATCTGTGTTCTGCCACATGGCTGGCTCCCTCTGCTCAGTCCTATGAGTCCCATCTCCTCCATGTCTGGCTATCGAATCCCGCCTCTCTTCTTCCCAGAGTTCCTCTCTCTGCCCAGAAGTCCCGCCTATCCTCTCCTGCCTAGCCATTGGCCATTCAGTTCTTTATTAAGTCAATCAGAAGATGCCTTGACAGAAACACATCTTCACAGTGTACAAAAAGATTATCCTACAACACTGGGTCATATCTGAAGATTCAGCATTTTATGTAACAAGCTTCTTTGCTTAGGAACTAGAAACTTAACATCTCAATCTTAAAGTGGAGTCATTGACAGAATAGATGGAAGGATTTTGTAGCAGATTGTTGAATGCATGATGGGGCACATAGAACAATTGCAAATTTTATTCTAGAAATAGAAGGTGTGTGTGTGTGTGTGTGTGTGTGTGTGTGTGTGTGTGTGTGTGTGTGTGTTGCTGGGGGCTGAACCTAGGGCCTTGCACGTGTTAAGCAAGCACTATACCCCTGAGCTACATCTCAGGCCCAGAAATCCTTTTCTGAAATCCAGTCTCCTTTGCAGTAAGATTCAGAAGATGTTAATAAGATCCTGGCAAAAGTCCCCTGCAGGAGAGTGTTGGTTCAGTCAATAAACACTTACTGAGTCTCTGTTGAGTACCTGTTCCGTGCTAGGCACTGGGTTAAGTGCTTAGGAGAAAGTGCTGAACAAGCCAGTTGACCTCTGCCCTATGGGTCTCGTGACTTACCAGAGGAAACAGACACTAACAGAGTAGCGCAGAATTGTCTCATTACAGTTCAGGAAGACGAGCATGGCAGAAATAAAACACAAAGAGTGTCGCAAGACTGTGTAAGAGGTCAGACCTGAGGCAGAGGAACTGGAGACTCATGAGGAAATAAGCTAGCTAAACTAGGGTATAGGCCCGGGGAAAACCCAACGGCCAGCAAAAGTCAAGAGAAACCAGCCATGAGAACACAAAGAGTTTGTAAGTGTATAAGCATCAATAAGATCGGTCAGCCTTGGACCGGCAACAGCCTTCCTCTGGGCTTACTAAAGCCGCTGGTTCCTGAAGCAGAATGACCGTCAATATTGGCATCCTTGAGGGAAATAATGTACTTCAAAGGGACCCTCTCCATGATAATTAGTGGCCACTCCAGCTTGGACTGCATGCAGATGGTTTGGGTTCATTTTACTGAAATTTCTGTTGTTTATGG